CCCCCCCCCCCCCCCCCCGCGCTGGCCGCCTGTGGCGCGGGCCCGACGCCCCGCTGCTCCCGCGCGGCCCCGCCCCACCCCCACCCCCGCTCACCGCCCAACTCCCACTCTCTGCCTGGCTTCAGGGCAGGGTCAGGGCCCCCTCCCCGACACCCGCACTGCCCGCCAGGATGCCCCCACCCCCACTCCCTGCCCAGCTCCCCAGCCGCAGGTCTGCCCCCCCAGCTCCCCGCCCCCACTGCCCTACCGCGTGCCCGGGGCCAGCTCTCACTCCCCTTTGATGCCTCCGCTGGCCCAGCGCCCCGCTGCTCTCCTCTCCCCCTGCCCCCCAGGCCCCCCCGCCAGCACCGCGGACTCCAGGGGGCGGACGCTCGGTACTTGATGTCCCGATTCTGTGTTACTTGGTCAACCGCGGGCCCTGCGGGAGCGTAGCGCACGTCGGCGGAGGAGGGGTACAGTGCGCCCCCCTCGGGGGGAGGGGCCTGTGGAACCGTGAGGACGACCCTCCGCGAATAGCCCGCCTGCCAGCCCCCCCCCCTCGCCTGCCCTGGCCCCCGCCGCCTCAGGTCAGGGGACGGGCGCCCTGGCCCCGGCGCTGGGTTCCCCCGGCGGGGGTTCCCCGGGGCTTACTTCCTGCCCCCCTCGTGCCGGTGCCCCGTAGACACGGTGCCCCCCTTCTCAGACCCCGTCTGCGGAGCCCGGCCACCGCTCCCACGAGACTGGGAAGAACGATGCTCCTGAGCCTGGGCCTGGCACCGGCTTAGAATCCGGCTCCGCCCAGCCCCTTGCGGGGTCGCTTCGCCCACGGATAATCTGGCCACCCCTTGCCACAGGCGGGCCCTTGTGCCCGGCTCTGGAAGCAACCGGAAACTCCAACGGGTCCCTGGAGGGTTGCTCTTCCAGGGGAAGGGCCCCAACATCACATTATAACAGGATTTCCGCCGGGGAGACGGACAGAGACGGGAGAGGAGCTGGTACCGGACCAGGCGGCCCGGTCTCCCTGGACAGGGGACATCGACCCGAGGAGCCACATCCACTTCTCAAGGAGGAATGTTCTGGGCTGAAAACAGCCACTGCAGACGCCTGGGGCAGGAACCGGCCGGGGTTAGAAAATCCTAGGAAAGGACAGGGGCCCGAGCAAGGGCAGGCGTGGCCTGGGGGCGGGGGGCGGGGTCCCGGGTCTGCAGGCCCAGCCGGGATGGAGCCTTCTGCCTCCGAGCCAGGGGCCTTGGAAGGTTTCAAACTGGGGAGGTTTTGATTATGCTCTGAATTATTTAATCTTGGCATAATTTCTGACTGTCACAAAAGTGCCAAGAATAGAATTCCCAGATACTCCCCCAGATTCCCAAATATTAAACTTTCACTAATGCCTGCCATCTGTAACTATGACCTTATAGTTAATATAAGGTCAATACAATCTACGTGGGAGGAGGTCGTACTGGATAAGGGGAGGGGGCTGTGCTAAATCAGCATGACCAGCATCCTCCTGAGAGGAGAGAAATTGGGGCACATTCACAGACAGAAGGCTCTGTGAAGACAGAGGCAGAGATTAAAGTCATTCTGGCCCAAGACAGGGACCGTGCAGCCCCCAGGAGCTGGAGGCCGCAGGAAGGACCCTCTCCCCCCAGCCTGCAGAGGGAGCGTGGGTTTTTGGTCACCTTGATTATTTTAGACTTCTATTTTTTAAAAAAATCTTTTATTTATTTGAGAGAGAGTGTGAGCAGGGGAGGGTCAGAGAGAGAGGGAGTCACAGAACCCGAAGACAGGCTCCAGGCTCCAAGCTGTCAGCACAGAGCCCGACAGGGGCTCGAACGCGTGAACTGTGAGCTCATGACCTGAGCCGAAGTCGGGGGCTTAACTGACTGAGCCACCCAGGCACCCCTTTAGCCTCCAGGAATGAGAGACAAGAAATTTGTGTTGTTTTAAGCCATCTGAGTTTGTGGTAATTTGCTATGAGGTCCAAGTACTAAAAATTGGGGGGGGGGGGGCGCCTGGGTGGCTCCATCGGTTGAATGTCCGACTTTGGCTCAGCTCATGATCTCACCGTTTGTAGATTCGAGCCCCGTGTCCGGCTCAATGCTGACAGCTTGGAGCCTGGAGCCTGCTTGGGATTCTGGGTCCCCCTCTCTCTGCCCCTTCCCTGCTCATTCTCTCTCTCCTCTCTAAGAATAAACATTAAAAAATTAATTAAAAAATTTTTAAATTTTGACATAATTTCAGCCTCAGAAAAGTGGCAAGAATAGTAAGAATTCTCAGATGCCCTTCATTCAGATTCTCAAAATGTTAGCTTTTTTAAAAATTTTATTTTTAAGTAATCTCTATACCCAACATGGGGTTTGAACTCACGACCCCAAGATTAAGAGGCACACACTCTAGAGGGTCCCAGGTGGCTCAGTCGGTTAAGTGTCCGACTAGATTTCGGCTAAAGTCATGATCTCCTGGGTCGTGACAGGAAGCCCTGCATCGGGCTCTGCACTGCCAGCAGGGAGTCTGCTTGGGATTCTCTCTCTTCCTTTCTCTCTGCCCCTCCCCTGCCAATAAATAAACTCAAAAAAAGAAAAAAAAAGAGTTGCATGCTCTACCAAACTCGCCAGCCAGGTGCCCCCAAATATTAAACTTTTATTACATTTTCTTTGTACTTCTGTCTCTGTCTCCGTCTTTCTGTAATATGAATCTAAGTATGTACCATTTATCTATCATCTAACTGCCTGGTTTTTCTGAATAGTTAAGATTAAGTTTCCCATTATCCCTGACTACTTCAGAGTCTATTTCTGAAAAACAAAGAACTGTTTTCCGTAACCACAGTACAACTGTCAAAATCAAGAAGTTAAGCTAAAACTGCTTTAAAAAATGAAGTGTTTGAGTGTTTTTTTTAATGTTTATTTTTGAGAGAGATACAGATAGAGGTGAGAGATTGCAAGCAGGGGAGGGGCAGAGAGAGGGGAACAGAGGATCTGAAGCAGCTCTGTGCTGAGAGCAGTGAGCCTGATGTGGGGCCCGAGCTCTGAACCGCAAGATCACGACCTAAGCTGAAGCTGGATGCTCAACCGACAGAGCCACCCAGGCACCCCTAAAAAAATTAAGTCTTTAAAAAACAACCAAGCCAAACCAAAACAAACAGACAAAAAAAAACTTACCACTGATACAAATCCATGATCTAATCAGCAGGCTCAGTTTGCCCATCACAGCAAACTCCTGGCCCTCGCTGCACCCACTGGCCGTGCCCTGGAGCCATTTGGACTAAGACGTGGGGGTGTTGAGGTGCGCAGGCCGGACACTTTGTAGAATGTCCTTGGCTTGTGAGGTTTCCTCAGGATTGGGCCTGGGGGTGTGCTCCTGCTGGAAGGCGCGGGAGTGACGGAGTGGCTGCCTGTGTGTCCCATCTCCGGCCATGAACTCGGCATTCTCCACTGTAAATGAATGGTTTTTACGCTTCAAAAGTATTAAGAATCCCTGCGGAGATACTTTGGAAACACCGGGTTTGCTTCCTCGCTGACTTAAGCTTCCCTTGATAGCCTGCCTGAACCAGTTTCTATGAAAATGCTTGCCAAGGGGCGATTCTAACCCCCTCTGCTGCACCTGCTGCCTGGCACCCCACTTCCCCATTCATGTGCCTGTTCACGCATTTCTTCCAGCGGGGTTTCACGGGCCCTTTTTTTTTTTTTTTTAAGCATCCATTCTACCACTGAAAGTGCACAGCCGATCGTTTTTAGGACTCAAGCACTAGTATTTGGTATTCAGAGCTGAACAGCTACCCCCACAATTCAGTCTCCACATTTGTGTCATTCCAGGGACCCTGTGCCCGTCCCTGGGACCCGCCTGGCAGCCCCACGACTGGGTGGCTACTGACGCAAGACACTGTGGTGGACTCGGGGAGCCTGACTTTGTCACACAGGCTGCTCGTCTTTTACTATCATTGCTTTGATGCTGAAATGGTCCCAGATGAGGAATCAGGTTGGACCCTGGTCTTTTCATCATTTCCCCCTTGTGCCTTTGATCGTCTCTATTTTCTGTCACACGAGGTGTTCTGGGCCCATGTTGACTTCTCACCCCTGCCCTGGGATGGGACATTTCTCCAGCGGGTCCTTATACGGGCTGCACAGTGCCCTCCCTGAATTCTTCTGCTGAGGTCCCAACCCCCGTACCTAAGACCGTACCTGTGTTTGCAGGTGGTCTTTAACGAGGTGACGAAGCAAAAATGAGGCCATTAGGGTGACCAACCTCTGACCAGGCTCCTCTGGGCCTCCTCTCCACTAGCCCCCTGCCCCTCTGCCAAGTTTAGAAGGAATCTGCTAAGTCAGTTTAGAGAGACACACCTCCCCCTGCCCGAAGGTAATCACTCTCACTCAGTACTTGATCCGGTGCTTTGGCCACCGCCCCACCCCCACGTGGAAGTCCGAGGCCTGCCTCTACCAGAATCTCCCCGGCGCTGACGCCCCGTTCCCTGGCTGTCAGCCCCCAGCCGGCCTCGTATTTGGGGTCCGCCTACTGCAATACGCCCACTGCAAGAGTCTGGAAAGTCCTTACCAGGGCGTCTGGCTGGCTCAGTAGGTAAAGTGACTCTTGATCTTGGGGTCTCGTGAGTGTGAGTTCAAGCCCTGTGTTGGGCATAGAGACTACCTAACATTAAAAATAAGAAGTCTTTCTTACCATTTCAGCCAGTGTCAAAGAAA